ACCCAACATCTTCGAAGTACTTATGTTTAGCTAACACCCATAAAGATCATAAAAAGTAGAAGAGAATAGAGAAGATGATCTTTACCTTAGTGAACTCAAACTCCCCTTACCAAAGCCAAAACACTCCATTGGTTTGGAGCCTCCCTTCACTTCTTCTCCAACTCCTCTTCGAGACTTCAAGATGGTTGCATGCAAGAGTGGAGACGCCCGCCCCCCCTAGCCTCCATCGATTTTTCCTTCTTAATTGGGAAGACTTGGCCAAGACAAGTGGATGTCTTGCATGCCTGCACTATACACTAATTACACTAACCCCCATCTAGTTTCCCCTAAACCACAATTCCATATTTAAACATTCGTTGGCTAAGCAATTGAACCCTACATTTTAATAAAATCCTAATCCAGGTATAATTGAAGTAATTAAAGCTCATAGTTTAAACCCCACGCGTTTCCAAAAATTCTTAATTTTGTCCCACGACTAACTTCAATCTTTTCATTAGATACCCATTGCTATATAAATGTTATGTATGCATGATCTAGTCTCACAACTCTTCCCCTCTTAAAGAATTTCGTCCCTGAAATTAACTTACCATGCTGATAAAAATAGAAATAGTTTTTGTACACACACACGCTCCATGCTCTCCCTGATTATTTCCTCCACTAACTAACCAACTGATTCGCACTTTTTAGTGGTCTGAATTATAATATATTATACACCCAAGTATAAGTGGTCAAATTATATTTTTCTCAGTTTAAGTCCAAGTATTGATCCTACGAAGAGTTTAGTAATTTAGTAGTTAAAATAAAAAATAACAGTAAAGTTGTTGTTTGAAGTAGTATGATGTTTGATAGCTTGTGATGTGAGCTTAGCTTGACAGCTAGTCTAACTTAAAAAAGTGCATAAGTAAACAAATAAATTACGTAAGTAAACAAATAAAGTGCGTAAGTAAACAAATAAAGTGCGTAAGTAAATGCGTTAATAACAGGAATATAAAAGACACCCTTCAGTTTAAGGGTCCCATATGCATTAGATTGGTTAGATACTGGAAATGCTACCGTACCAGGATTAACTTCCATTTTATTGGAAATTCAACCAGTTAGTCTAATGTATATAAACCATAGCATAGCCACTTCTTAGGCTAACTAAGAGTAATAAATCATAACACAGTCGCTTCTTAGGCTAACTGGTTATATCCACGTCAACTGATTAACCCAAGCAAACCAGAAGGACAAGCCATTTATGAGGAATACTTGAGTTATTCACTTAATCTCATGATTATAAGTGCGTACATAATAAACCATAACACAGCCACGTCTTAGGTTAACTGGTGGTATTATAGCATAACACAACAACTTCTTAGGAAAGCTGGTTATCAACGTACCAATTGACTAATTCAAGTAAACCAGAAGGCTGACCCATTCATGAGGAACACTTGAATTACTCAATAGGTCATTTGTGATATATATATATATATATACCAGTTAAACATCCTCAACATTCTGGTGGAGGACAAGCCATACCGATAGGACCGTCGTGGTTGTTAGACTAGCAATATAGTTATATATAGTATTTAAATAACCCTAATAACCAAGAAGGACAAGCCATTCATGAGGATCATTTAGGTTCTGTACCCCACATCAGTAGAACATCCTCAGCATTCCGATGGAGGATAAGCCATACTGGTAGGAACGTCGTGGTTGTTTAACCGGCGGGTCTTATGACACACTGATGACAAAATTCAAGGCACATCACCGAAATTATGCACATCATTGTATCACACATTAAGCATATAATACATAGATAAATAAAATATAAATAAGACATCAGCATTTTAATAATCTAACCAATAATATACATATGTTCCCCTCGCACTGGAGGGTATAAACGACTACTTACGCTCCATTGCTACAGACAAGCAAGGAGTGTGGGTAACATTCATTAAAACTAAAAAGAAAACTTCTTTCAAAAGGAACAATTGAAACACAACCACCTTTATTATCATTCAAGACAAAAAAAAATGGCGGCAGTTCAACTATCCAAATAGAAAGATACAACAGAAATGTAGAAATACAGATTAACTGTAAAAGTGTATCACGGACCAGCTTTCAAATGCTTTTTCTTTCTCTCTTTTTTCTCTCTTTGCTCTCTTTGATGGCCAACTGGCTTTTGGTAGGGAGGAGTTGGTCTCTTGGAATGGTATTGTATGAAGTAAGAAATGAAGACCCCTATTTATAGGGGAAGGGAAAAATTCAGCCAAGAAGGGGGGTCCTAACCCCCACCTCCACCTTCCAAAAGGTTAGGGGTCCTACCCCCCACCTTTACCTTCCAAAATGTTAAACCTTGCAGTGGTGCTAGGTGTCTTGCTTTGTGCTTGTCAAATGTTGCCCTTTGATTTGCCCATATTTCTTTATTACACCTTAGTCCTTCATAGTTTCAAATCTTGCAAAATTACCCTGTATTTTCTGGTATTCTTGCATTTGACCCTGAAATTTAAACATAAAATATTTAAAACTTTAATTTACGCACAAACTATAATTCATAATGTTTAGTTGTTTTATCTTTCAAAATTGATTACTTATTATTTTATTTACACACTAATTAGGGTTAATTACCAACCACAACTTCAACTGATAAATTTCTTTAAAACTCTCTATACTATATGGACATCACACAAGAGAGTTCAGATATGTATTTCCAAAGCATTAGCTTAAGAAATATGTCATATAACTACGAAGGTCCTTATTGTAATGCTAAACGACAAGTAACTATTCCACTTCACCCAATACTCTCAAGTGGTTTGTTACATTTCAAATCCAGCTTACCTCTAATACCCAATTTCATAACCTTATTCCAGTGTGATACTATAAAAAAATACTAATTCACTATTTGTAACTCCCGAAACCTTCTACCATTTAAATGGCCCACTTAGATTTCCAATAAGCTTAGTCAATGTATAACCTAAACCACACACCTTTATTCAAATACAATCTAGTACACCTGTTTAATGAGAAACTTACTTTAAAAGCTAGAAACTGAATAGATTTTGTAAAACACAAGGAGAAATCTTCCACCAAAATTCATCATAATGTGCTCTCGTTTCCATTCGGGAATAGAGAGTGGTTGTAACCAATCCATTGTCATACCAGATTTTTATCCACAAAATTTGTAGCCTTTCAGTTCACTTCCATCCATATTACTATTTTTTTTATAGATCCTGATATAGTTTAGTGTGACTCAAGCGTCTGACATAACACAAACACAACGACAACTAATATGTACAATGACACCATGTATCAATTTAATCAAATATCAGTATTAGTGAATATGAATCAATAACTCCATAGTTCCACTTGTTCCACATCTCCTAAGAGTGGTACAAAGATTTGACACTTCACCAATCGTCCCACCTTATCCCAATTCTATGGGGGGCCTTTTGGCTAGCGATTTATCGAACATTTGGCTATCATGATCCCACTACAAACCACCACACACATGATTGAAGTAACCAACACCCTCAACAATAGCTCAATAGGAACTTCAGGGTTGTAATAACACAAAACATGAAACAAACATAAATATTCAATGCAGTTACCGCATACAACCCCATATCCCACAATTGTTAACTAAATCCAATAAGTAGCATCATTGTGATCATAAGTACAACACAATATACATATTTTTATTTGGCACTATTATAGTTAAGTTTGACCAGTTTTTCCTTCTAAATTGGGAATACCCAAGAAAAATGGATGTCTCGCATGCCTCCACTATACACTAATTATGTTAACCCCCCTCTAGTTTCCCCTAAACTACAATTCCATATATAAACTTTCGTTAGCTAACCAATTGAACCCTACATTTTAATAGACTTCTAATACAACTCTAATTTAAGTAATCAAAGCTCATAGTTTACACTCCCCGCATTTCCAAAAATTCTTAATTTTATCCCACGACTAACTTCAATCTTTTCAGTAAGATACCCACTACTTTACAAAATGTTAAGTATCCATGTTCATGTCTCACAAGGGTACACACATTTTTTCCAAGTCCTAGACAACTTTGGCCCTTCCATCTGGACTGATGAGTCCTTGAGAGAAGAAAGAGACAAGGAGGTGAATTCAGAAGTCAATCCTGACCAAGACTTCAACGCTACTCCCACATCTTCACTCAAGTCAGGCATGTTTCGAATGCTTATGATCAAGATCGAGAGCTTGTAAACTATAGCTGACGCCCGAAGAACTACTTCTTCGAGACTTGGTGGTACTTCCTAAGTCTCCACGGTTCCTCCTTCTCAACAGTTGCCAGAAGCTCACCGAGAAAACTCGCCACCACCACCGCAAGTTATGCCTCCACATATCTGCCTAGGATCCCTTGGCACGATCAACACTGAGGCCTAGAAGATTACCCTTCCTATGCACGAAGGGTCAAGCACCCCCATGAATCTAGAGCCCCAGCATTCCAAAGGTTAGGAATTTCCCAACCCCAACCCTTGCCTCCACCTCCACCAGTTGCCTCCTATGCATGAGGAATTGAACCTAAGGGTGGTTACCCACAAGGACAAGGCATTGATGACCACCAACTCCATCATTAACTCCCCCAACATCGCCAAGGCATTTAGTAGTTTCCTGCACTTTGATGCTAACATGGCCATCCACTTGGATTGATCAGACAATTGCATTCTCCAATGGGTCATCTAGAATGCCCTAATGGTAAGTTTCCTTGATATTTTTACAATCCTGTGTTCATTGCCAATTCTTAACAAAGCTTGTTCATTTTCCAAATCAGTCAGCAAATGGATGTCATTGTTAAGCGTTTCTTGGATTATAGGAACCAAGCTGAGAAAGCCTAGATTAAGATAGGCAAGCAGAACATCCACATACATCGTGTCAAATATACCATTGTTGATCAGGTGAAGAAGATTATTGTCCTAATAAAGTGAATAGAGGTATTTTCATCCGACTTGGAGAAGCATAAGGCTGCCAAGGCCAATGTACAAAAGAGGATGACCAAAGTTGAGTTGATGGGTTCTACTATCGAGACTAAGTTCTTGCAGACCGAGAAAAACCATGCCACCCTGACTACTCAAATGGAAGACTTGACATTGGCACAGGTGAACACCAAGAATAGAGAGAACTAAATTCACATATAAGTATTCAACTAATGCCAGTGTCAGGTGGTGAAGATATTCTTGAATGGCTAGAAGAAATCCTTCAAGAAGTGATAGCATGAGGCTCATTAGGCCGTAGGGCTAAATGTTGAATCAGAGCTTTTCTACATCTTTGTTTCTGAGCCTATGTTTGATAAAGACGAAGACCCTCTCCTGGTGTATATTCTACAAGACCTCCCTATAGAAGACCAATAGGAACCTCTTGTCGCGAAGGTCCTAAGGGGTTCGGTACCAGCAAATGAGCCAATCCCAATGAGTGATAAGGACTCTGGTGATAGTGAGATCTCTTCCTTGAGGCTGCCTTCTCTAATAGTGCCCTTCTATCCTTGGGACCCTTCCCTTGCAAATATCCTTCCTGGCCAATGGAACCCTCTACCAATTGGGGAGTTTAGGGAACTTAAGGACCTATAAGATGACCAGGACGTGGGTACGGGCAGTAGGTGAGGCGGTGTGGTGGTGCTTGGGATGACAGCGACTAGGAAGGTGGTACCAAAAATTGAAAATTTTGTGACCCTAGTTGAGATTTTTTCTTTGATGCTCTCTCAAACACTTAAGGTCTAAGATCTTTTTATTATTTTATTTGTTGTTTTCTTATCTTCTATCTCTTTTTTTTAATGCTATGAAGGATGCAAAGTCTACAGTCCATTACTAAGACTCGACTCTTTTCCTAGGTTGCGGGGCCATGCCCGCGATGATCAAATGCCAGGCTTGTCTAACTTTTTATTCGTGACACTTTGCTTGGGCAAAGCTTTACACCATCTAGGGCCTTCCTCCTAAAGACCAAGCACAAGGCTTGTATTTTAACTTTTTGGGTGTGATGTTTTGCATTGGGAAAGGCTTATCTAACCCGGGGCAATGCACCTAATGACCAAGCACAAGGCTCATGTTCTAACTTTGTAGGTGCAACGTTTTATGTTTGCAAAGGCTTATCCCACCTGGGTTTGTGCCCCTAACCACTAGGATGGGGTCCCATGTTTTTAGACTGGTTATACTAGTTACAAGGATAACATATTGATTGAATGATAAAATTTCCTCAAGTTTGTTACATTTCATGGTCGAGGGATAATTTTTCCCCCTAACTCTTCAAGTCTATAAGATCTCATGCCCCCAATTTTGGTGACCTTGTAGGGTCCTTTCCAACTAGGGCCAATTTTCCCATCCATTGGTTTCCCAATTGCCCCGACCACTTTGTAAAGCACTAGATTCCCCACTTGGAAATCTCTAACTCAGACTTTCTTCTGGTGTTTTCCAGAATATTCCTACCATTATCTGGCTAATTGGATGGCTGCTAGTTCTCTTCTTTCCTCAGCTAGGTTAAGGTCTTTGGCAAAGATCTAATCATTCATCCGAGATTCAAAGGCCTGGCCTTGTATGTTTGGAAGTCCAAACTCTAGGAGGATTATTGCCTCTATACCATATGCTAATGGATAAGGGGTTTCCCTTGTTGATATCCGTGGAGATGTTCAATAGACCCATAATACGTTAGGTAGTTCCTTAGACAATTTTACCTTTGCTTTGTCCAACCTATTCTTGATCCTTGCTAGCATAATCTTGTTGGAGACCATGGCTTGTCCATTGCATTGTGGATATGTCAGTGTTGAGTAGTAATTCTGAATACCAAACCCTTCACAAAATTCTTTGAGGGACGGTTGTTGAACAACGTGCCATTATCTGAGATGATAGCCCAAGGGATGCCACACAAATTTCTTGGTGTTCATGTCTCGTATGCAGCTTAAAGGTTCAACTTCTACCCATTTTATGAAGTAGTCAGTGGCTACCAGGAGGAACCTTGTATTCAATGGGGCCTTCGGCAATGTTCCTACTATGTCCATTCCCTATTGAGCGAAAAGCCATGGATTCATAAGCGGGTTAAGATCCCCGAATAATTGTTGAATAATGTGCAAACTTCAAGCACTTGTCACATTTCTAAACATATTGTTTGGCATTTTTTTACATGTATGGCCACCAATACCCCTAAGCGATGGCCCAATAAGCTAGAGAACGGTAGTCCATATGGTTTTTGCATATCCCTTCATGGATCTCATATATCAATAGTTGGACTTTGTCTTTGGAGAATGACTTTTGATAAATTGTTTTGGTTGGGAGAGACCTAGAATCTTGGGGCTTTATGCCTAATATTTTTGAATTCTTTGTTTCACTTTAGAATTTCTCTGGTTAATAGATACTTGGTTATGGCATCCATCCAACTCGGAGAGGTGTATGCACATTGATGGGGAATAGCCCAATGATATTTGAATTTACTATATTCGACTACTTCAAATACTCCAAGGTTATCCTCCGAGTGATCATGGATGTCCAAGCCGAAATTGAATAGGCCAGGGCATTGGTGTGACTGTTATGGTATCGAAAGATGTGGGATATTTTGATATCCTTGAATCTCATTAGCATCGCCTATAATTTCTAGTAATAAGTCCTCATCCTTGGATCTTAGGCCTCAAAGTCTCCGTTGACTTGATTGACGACCAACACGGAGTTGCAAAACACATGGAGATGGTTAGCCCCGACATATTAGCCATGTTGAGTCCTAAAATAAGTGTCTTGTACTCTGTTTCATTGTTTGAATCCCCAAATTTGAGTCAAATAGCTCATTCCATCGTGAATCCATTAGGACTAGTGAAGACTACCCTTTCTATTGACCTTCGTGCCTTCGATTACACATTGACATGTAACCTCCAAGCCTCAGAATTCATGGGGTCTCCCCCCTAAGGTTTCTATGGTGGGGGGCATTTGGACGAAGTAAACTCAATAATGAAGTTAATCAAAACTTGTTCTTTGATGGATATATGAGGTCAATAGCTTATATTGAACTCTCTTAGCTCAATACCCCACTTGGCCACTTTCCCCAACATATCTGCTTTGTGGAGAATAGCCTTCAATGGTTGATCGATCAAGACTTCAATAGGTAGGCTTAGAAATAGTGCCTCAGCTTCCTCGCTGATGTAACCAATGCCAAGATTACTTTCTCCAATAAAAAATACCTTGTCTCGACATCCTTGCTGACATAATACATGGGCCTCTACTCGAACTCATGCTCCCATACCAATGCTCTATTGATGGCATATTCGAAAACCAAAAACTATAGGTAAAGAATTTCCCCCGACTTGGGCATTATTCGATCATACCTTTTCCTCCTTTGCCTCCCCTCTCTTTCCTCAACCATTTCCTCTACAAAGTTAGGTTCCTGGTTTATTGGTGGATTGTGTTTTGCATGAAGCTTAACCCTAGGCATTGTGTTTTTCTCAATTTTGAGCTTGAGAGGGTGTGACAATCTTGAATTTTCTTGTGAAGATGATGATTTTGGGTGTGGAAATGAGTTTGGGATGGTCGATTTCTAGTAGAATTGAGGAATGGGTGGAGTTTTGAGGGTTGGGGAGTGAAAAGGGGTTCTAGGGTTTGGAAGATTTTTAAGGATTTTGGGAATTTTGAATGGGGAAGACGATCCAGACTTTTATAGTCTGAGGAGGAACGTTTGAACGTTCATGTGATTCGAACATTTGTAGAAGAATTTTAACAAAAATGTTCGAACATTAAATATCGTTCGAACGTGGTGAGCTCCCAGTACTTTTTAGTTCTGTCAGAAACCAAAGTACTGTACGCTCCTATCGTTCGAACTTGCTATTGGCGTTCGAACATTATTCGTGTTCGAATGTGCTATTGGCATTCGAATGGACTGAGCTCCCAGTACTTTTGTTTCCATCAAAAACTTCATCAGAGGCTAAGTACTATAAGCAAATGACGTTCGAACGTCAATTGGCATTCGAACGTTAAACCAAAATTTAAAAATTTCTACACTACTCTACACACAATCACAGAAGTTTACTTATAAAAATTTTGAACCAAATTTCATGACGTCTCAAGACAAATCCCTACCTACGTTGTAAGTTGGTATTTCGGGACGTTCCTTACTCGGCCCATGTTCTCATTTTAGTCAAAAGAGTTTATACAAAACACAAAGGATTTTTACACTTTTTTACAAAAATTTAGACCCTTGGCTTTCATCCCCTACAAAAGTACATTTTTCATAGTTTAAAAAAAAAACCTAATCCGAGTCTTCATCTGTCTCTGTGCCTTTTGAACAATCAGTAACTCTCTCAATTTCCTCTCTCACAAAATGGTTAAATAGAGTACCAGAATAGGATGGCGTGTCAGGATAATCCTTACTTTGTCCATTCACTATCCAGTATAATCGATCGAGTGCACGACCAAAAATTGGTTATATTTCTTCTAATGAAAGACTCTACCACACTATTTACAGACACCAAGTCTTTTGGTACGAAGGCATTTAGCAAAAGTGCTTCTGCCACACAAGGGTTTCGCTTGTTGTTCTCGAATCTCATTTTTTCTCACCAATCTTGCTTTTCTCATGGTCATAGTATGCACATCCGAAGGAAAAGTGCGTAAAATTTCCAGACTAAACCAAAAAATTTTAACATCCATACTTTCTATACTATTAAGACTCACTATCTAGTTCTTTAACGTCTACTAGTCACAAAGATGATCAGAGATGACCCACAAACATAACCATCAAAATGCAAAACATGGTAGTCAAAATATGGTACACAATTTGATCAACAACAACAACAACAACAACACAAATGTAAAAATTTCTACGGGCACATATGAACTGTAGTTCTCTCCCTCCAATCTAAACTGAACATTGTCCCCAATGTTTCAAATTTACCAATATGGTGAGCTTTAGAGATGAGGTTGAATGGTAGAGATCTTGTTCATTAGCCAAAAAATTTTACCGTAAAACACCTTTTATGGTTCCCCGGCAACGACGCCAAAAATTTAACTTGATCCGAAATGTGTACACCCAAGTGCAGGCAGTCAAGTTGTAGTAATAACCTAGTTAAGTCCGAAGTCGAATCCACAAGGAACTATAATTGGTGTTTTGATGTAAGCAATAATAGAGACCTAGTAACTGGAAATTTTGAGAGTTTGGAGTGGTGAGGTTTCTTGAATAGAATAGAAGATTCTTTTCAAGAGTTTTCTAGACAAAATATAAGATTTTCAAAATGTAACAACCACCCTTTAGCTCGAGAATCAGGACATGTAATAGACTATCTGTTTTATTATGTTTGTGTTTTATAACTCAATTAACTCCCGTGTTAACAGCAAGTTAATTGGAAGATAAAGATGAACTGTGAGCATTAAGCACATGATTCCGATGCCTTTCTAGAAGTTTACAAGAATTGTCTGTGCCAAGACTTAACCCTTCTACAAATAAACAAGTGTTTCTACAAGGCATCCAATCATGGTATTAAGGGTCCATTCTTTGAATAAAGCACAATAATGGTGGAGATTGAAGGTTGTCATGAAGAGCTAACCGGGGTGCTTGCCTTGAACCAATGGGTCTTTCTATGCAGGAGTCATCCGTATCATAGAGG